GAGCGGGGCCGGGCCGGGGGCGCGGGGCGTGGCCTGCGGCACGCGCCGGACCGCCGTCGGCCGGAGCCATTGGCCGCCCGCGGCCGTCAATCAGCGGGGGGGGCGAGCCCGGCGCCCCGCGGGGCCGCGGCCGGGGCGGCCCGGGAGCCGGCGGCGGGCGGAGGTGGGCGGCCGGGGTCCGGCGGCGGGCTGCCGACGGCTTCGGCCCTCCCGTGTTCGGCGGCGCTGGACGCGGCTCGAAGGGAGCCCGGAGTCGTTCCGCGGAGCCGTCGTCGGAGCGAGCGGTAACGGGCGGCGGGAGCCGGGCCGGGGGAGGCGCGGTGCGGCGAGCGCGGGGCCGGGGCCGCGTCGGGTAAACCCCGCCGTGCCGTGCGGTGCCGGCCGACGGGACGCTTTCTGCAATTGAAGTCGGGGAGCGTCAGCGTTTTATTTGAGGGAAGCGCGGTTTTTTATGTATCGGCGTGCGTGCGCGGACCCAGAGCCTCTCCGCGTAGTTGTCCGTTAAACGCAGCGCTTTGGTTTCATTGACTTATCCGTGCTAGTTTTCTGAGAGTTCGGTGGTGCGTTCGTTTTGAAACGAGCCGCGTGTCGGCTCGTGCCCGACCTCCTGTGCCGGGAGGCTCCCGGCGCTTTGCAGCGCGGCGGTGCCCGGCTCCGCACAATGCGGCTCCGTGGCGGTGCGCACGGCCGGCCGGGCTGCGCTGCTCCCGGGCTGCGGCTGCACGGCTGGGCTCCGTGCCGGGCTGCCGGGCTGCACCTGCGGCAGCGCCTCTCCTAGGAACTGCCGTACGGCGCGGGCGGAGCGGAGTTACTTCACGGATAAGGGAGATAATGCAACTTTTATTATTTTGTCCTCGTCTCCTGCCTGTAATCTTCGGGGAGTGAGTACGTTTAGAGAAAAAACGGGAGGGATTCAAAATAGCCTTAAATAAAAGAAAAAAACGAACGGCTTAGGCTCCAGATGAACGTGTTTTTAAAGTTTAGGAGTGCTCACCTCCTTCTCGGAATTTTTTTAGCGAGGTCTCCGTTAAAGAAGCTCCCAGTTGGGCACTGGCAGTAGGTGAGAGTTGCTTCTCCAGCCCGGCGGTGGCTGCTGGGTTTGATTTCCCAAGGATGCTCCTCGGCTTTGTGTTAATTTAAGCACAGGGGTTCATTCTCAACATTAAAGGCTAGTGCAGTGGGAAGCAATTGTAGCTTCTGTGCTTAAAGTCATTCTGGAAGTCAACTTTAAAGTATTTAATGCAGCTATTCAAGTATCCCTTAATCATTTGTTTTATATCAGCTTGTCGTAATTTTTCTGCAACGTAGATTGTTATGAACTTTATAAAAATGCTTATTGTCTTTATGTATAATTCCCTCTCGTGAACAAATTGGATTTTTTTTTTCTGTGAGCAAACTATAATATGAGATGTAATGCCCTGACCTTTCTTTTGCTAGATTACCTCAAACACTGCGAATTAGCTTTTCTAAATATCTGAGCATATTTTCTGTTGGTTTGGCGTGTTTTGTATGGTAGCTTTTAATTGCAAAAAAATAACATTAGACATGTAATTTTCACTCCACTTAATTTATGCAAACGCTGAAGTTCTTGCTGCGAAAAGCAAAACTTGGTCTTTTTCCTCGGGGCCTGGATGGGGAGCCTGCTTGTTAATGACAGTCATTTTTCCAACAGGAAGATGTTTTCATTTGTATTTACTTTTCAGTGCAGGGCAATTATGCAGTTCTGTGTTGCGAGCGTTTCGTAGTTTGTATCTCAAAAGAATTACGGTTCTTGGAACAGGACTGCAATTTGAAGCAGGTGTTTTTTTATTTTTTTTACTGTTATGCAAAATAACACTGAAATATAATTGTAAGGGAAATTAAGGAAACAGCTGCAAACTCGGGATGGTAACCATTACATTAAGACTCGTAAGCAGTTGTTGCATTATCTTAAAACGTAGCAAAGATTTGGCCTAATAAAGCTCACCTTGTTGGTTTTTACCCCTAAAACTCTTCTGCTTATCCTTAGGAGAGGGGGTTAATGCAAAAAGCAGAGCGTAACCTCAGCTTCTGGGGAGTACTGTCTCACTGATTGCTCTGTTTAAATGGGAACTTTATGGCTTAGTTTCATCTGGCCTTTTTTTTTTCTTTTTTTTTTTTTTTTCTCTAAGCAATGAAGGAGATGAGGAATAGAACCCAATTACTGGAATGGAGGTTGCCGAATGTCTTAACCCAGCTAACATATGGAAGCCTACATAGGCCTGAGGTTGTAAAATAATAAAATAAATGGCCTATAGCAGGCCATCTGCCATTTGCGGGGCAGTTTTGTCGTACTTCATGCCAAACTGGAAATTAGTCTTTGTATTAAAAATATATTTTGAATACAAATCAAAGATTCCAAACGTTACACGTGGCAAACACATTTTGGCCTGGAAGCTAAGAGAAGCCAGGAATATCACACTGGAAAAACATTGCTCGGTTTGATGCTCGGGTGACAAAGCTCTCCTCTTTCTGATCTCTTTTTGGTTTTGTAAATTGCACACCGCTGTGTGAGTAGAAACTGAAGAGTAAGTCAGCTGTACGGGGTATCAGCATTTCATTGAAGTGCTGCAGCTCGGGTAGCATGCCTCAGCTGAGGCTCTCCAACAGTGCTTTGGAAGAGTTGCTCATCTTGAAAGTATTCTTCAGAAATCTGCTGAGCAATTTCCCCAAAGTCCTTCTGAAGGCAGGCGGGCAGCTGGGGCATCCCGAGCTTATTGGTTCAGGACACTGAGGCTCTCATTCTGGGGGGAGCGGAAGGGAAACTCAGCAGAGGTAGGATTTGGGAAATTTCTGGCTTTCTCCTCATTCTTGTGTCACAGAATGCTTCCAGCCTCAGTGCAAAAACGTACCTAGGAGCACTTTGAAGATGTGAAAGATAAGGACACGCATAGTGAGGAAAAGCATTTCTTTCATCTTAGGCAGAAATATTTATGCATGAAATTGCACTTAAATCTATCCGATAAATCATTACTGCCTGCTGATGAATCCAAACCAGTTTCAGTGCTACTGGACCATAATGTGGATATTTTGTTAGGGTTGTCTAGATGCTAGCCTTCTTGCAGGCAGAGGCATACATCGTTTCAAAGGTATTTGTGTGCGTTTTTTGCTTTGTAACTGTAGAACTTTCTGCCTTGTGTCTGCTTCCTACAGTCCCTCAGCTATCGCTCATTCTGTGAAGCCACGGCGGGGCCTTGGAACAGTTCTTGTCCTTCAGGAAAACAGTCTACTTGTTAATTTCCATGTTTGCAATTAGACGTCACTCAAAATAAAGAATTTTAAGTATATGGAGTGCTTATCTGGGGCTTTCCATGCAGTTTGTTCTCCGGAAACTAAAACCCGTCCTTAAGCATTCATCCTTCCAACCCGTGTAGTGTTGATGGTGTTAATGTGGTGAGCACAGCTGTGAGTAGCAACGCGTGCAGCGTTGGGCGAGGGGTACAGCAACGGCAGGAGGGAGATCTCTGGCTGGAAACGTGGAGAGGAGGGAGCCGTGTGTCCGTGCGTGCCTCCATCTCCCCGCAGCTGAGCATGTGCTGTTTCCTCACAGCTCGGGGCTGCTGGCGAGGAGCTGCTCGGCCTGGGGAGCTGCCAGGAACACGATGCCCTGCCCTGCTCTCGGCCTTGGGAAGCTGTGAGTTGCTCATGTCCATAAGGAGGAAGGATGGCTCATGGAATTCCTTCACAAGGCAAAGTTACCATAACGGTGGATGAGTACAGCTCCAACCCGACGCAGGCCTTCACGCACTACAACATTAACCAGAGCAGGTTCCAGCCTCCGCATGTGCACATGTAAGTATTACCGATGTGTGTCTGTCTGTCCGCCTGTCCGTCCCCGCAGACCCGGCTCTGTGCCGCTCGCCCCGCTACCTGCCCGAGGCAGCCGTGCCTTTAAAATCGAAGCTCCCTTCCCCCGGCCCTCCCGCTCCTTACGAAATAAGGTCTAATTGGGACTAATTGTCCCCCTCCCCCCGGTCACTGCATCCTTTGTCCTCGCGGTTGCGGGGATCGTGTGCCGCATGCCGGCTCCGCGCGACGTGAGCACAAAGGAGCCCCACGACGAGTCCGAACGCCGCTTGGAATAGCGGGCACGGCCTGAGCCGCAGCTGCCCGGAGCTCGGCACCACGGCTGCGTTCTCAACCGAACGTCGCCTTAACTCTCAATTTCCTTCCCATTGTTCAGGCGGGTCTGATCTTTATCGGTTAGCTCCGTTCAGGTTATTTTTCTTTCAACGCTAATAGACTGAAAAGCACTTGAAACTAAAACAAAGAGGACATCTCTTGACCTGCTCTTTGCCATTGTGAGTCAGGATTTGGAGTGATGTCATGCTATTGAATCTGATAAGGATTTTGCATAATAAGAGTGAAAAAGTTGTAGGCTACTTCGTGGCATTTTGTTATGTAGAAGCCTACCGGAAGAGACACAATGCCAGAGTTCAGCACCTTCTAATAGGATTTCATGTGGTTACCATCTTCTGTAAAGCAACTTTCCCGAGGAAGGATGCTGGAGTGGCTGCCGTGTTTGCGACCGTTGACGTTTTTGTCAATTACTTTTGGTTTATTTCTGCAGCGATGCTGTGACTCTGCTTTAGCCTATGTTTCCATTTCTTATTCGCTGCTCAGATCTTTTGTCAGCAAATTTCTGTTGCAAGTTTTGCACTCCAGACCGCGCTTCTGACTGACACTGAGCATGAACTCAGAACAAACAATAGAGATTTGGAAAGCAGTTTTAAAGAGCCCTTTCTTACCGACGACTGGTTGAATGGGAGCTGATTTTAGGACCGACTAAAGTGTAGTGTAGTGTTCAGTGTCTTAAGAATTATTCTTGACTTATTAAGAATTATTCATCCTCTGTTTCAAATGTGCGCAAATAGCTGCACTCCCCTAAAAACTTGTACATCTTTTAAATGGTACTGACTTGACAGATATCCGAAGATATTTCACTTTTTCAGAGACGTCATAAAGTTGACAGAAATACTGACTCAATAGGCTACGACATAGTGACAATATTTAAAAACCAAATAGCTGAAAGACCGCAGCATTCTTACATTCATCTATGGATATGTCATATGAAAAGGGAGATCAGAATTAAAAAAAAAAAAAAAAAATTGGGAGAAGATTAGTTGGAGAACGTTACAACAGAACACAGACACAACGTTGCAGCACAAGGGACGAGTTGGGGCTGTAGTTGATGGCAAGTGATGGGTTTTGGAAGACCTGATGAGGAAAAAGTGGTAGGATCCTAAAAAGTACCAGGAGTTGTGGGCAGAACAGAGTGAGAAGTGAAGATATGACAAAGGCTATGGGTAATTTCTTGGATGGGAGGGGAAGGGAATTAGAGCATATTGTAACTTCAGAAGGGGGCCTTATTTCCTTATTTGCCAACCCAATGTTTTTAATGGAAGCACTGTGGGTGTTTCTGAAACAATGTCTTCATGCAAGGAGTCCTGAACAGAAAATTGGTAAAAGCAACATCAACAAGGAAACAGTAATTAATTTTTATGCTGTTGTCTTTGGTAGTGCCACATTGCTGCAGCTGTCAGGGTTGTTAGATGAGGTTTTGCAGTTCTGCTTTTCTGTTTTGCTATCTGCATGCATTTTTATTTAAAGATGGTGTTTGAGGAGGTTTTCCTTCTTTTTTTCGTGAAAAGTTAATATTAAAAAACTGTGGGCTGTTGAGAAATTTGCAAAGCAACACAGAAACGGAGTGTTACGACGTGTGTGAGTAGCTGGACAATCTGTTGCTCCAGGGCCCTGCTGCATACCATCAATCAGTGGCTGGATGCAGTTTGAGGACATTGTTCTTCCCCAGAGGAACTAATTTGTAAATCAGTTATTTCTTTATGCATATGCATCTTCACATGTAAAGGTGAGAACTGTATTCTTGGCACATATTGAGCCATTTCTGTTTGTGTTTTTCATTGGGCTGCATTCTCACCTCACGTGGAGTAAATTAAGAGCCCTTGGGATTTCACCAGTACAAAGATGATGTTTAAAGAAGTACTGGAATTGGACTTCCTGCTCCCTGAGGCTTTATTTTTTTTTTCCCTGCTTTTATTTTGTGTCTTTCACATAGTAGTGTTACGTAGTTTAATCATCATGGATGCAGTTCTCCTTAATTGTCTTTAAATATGTTTTTACTCTGGCACTTCTTAGTGCACCCATTTAAGTGTTCCACCAGGTAAATAACAGTGCATCAAAACTCCCTTTGCTTAGGCTGACTGATGGCAGTTTTGTCAGTTACTTAGATGTTTGTGTGGTATGAATTCCATGACTTTGTTCAATCTTTGTTTTATTTCTCCACTGATTAATGTTTGAGCGGGTGGACAGTTTTCACTGTAAGCTTATTTTGGATAAAGGGACAGATGTTGAGTTATTGGATGTCTCGAGGCAATGAAACCCATCAGTCTCACCCATTTTCTGAAGATGTTATTGAATGTTTGCATTTGAATGTTTGTACATAGAATATTTACCTTTGCTTACTTTTAATTGACTGCACCACCTTAGTTCCTTGTTTTAAAGGGCAGCTGCAAAATAATGATGGTGATGTGCATCTATTTGCTTCTTAGTGACGATAATTCTTCTGCACATTGTAGCACTTTCCCATTTTTTGTTCAGAATTATGATTTCCAGAGGCAGTTGCTTCTTTGTTGTAGTGCTGCCCCCTCTGTTCTGCAGCACTCTCAATTGAGAGGACTTTAATATGAGACTGATCTGAGGACTGGGAGGCTTTAAAAAGCAGGGAGGTTCTCTTTCTAGTAATGAGGTTTAGAAAGAAACAAAAGGTGTGTAAGTTTGAGACGCCTGATATGTTCTGCATGAGGCCATGTTCAGTGGTGCCAACAATACAAGTGAACAGCGATAGGATGCAGCCCTGGGGCAGCATCAGCACGTGGAGAAGAGCTGGCAGCCCGTGATCCATCTATAGGAGTTGTAATTATACTCATCAGCTTTCCTTAGCCCTCACCAAAGTGGCTTGGTTGCTGGCTTTTAGCATACTGGGGGTACACAGCACAACTCTGGTGTGTTTTACATGCAGTACTAGTGGAGTAAGAAAGAGAAGAGGTTTCAGTGCAAGAGAAAGTCTTCTAAATGAGTTTATGCACACCCAGACATACAATGAATGATCTGCAACTATATAATTTTACTGCCTTTTCTGTACTAGAGTAATTCCCCATGTGAATATTCTTATTTTAAAATAGAGTATAAACATTGAGTTTTATATAAGTAGAACTTTATGTACTTTATTCACCTATACATATATGTGTATGAGTGTGTGTAAAAGTGAATATATATTAATAATGGTAATATAAAAACGCAGTTGTACACTCAGAAGAAAAAAAGTATTTAATTTTGTAAAGCCTTAAATCGTTGAGACCCAAAGATCTCATTAGGCTTCTAACCTTGGCAAAGTGTCTGGTATATTTTTTCTTGCAGGGAAGCCATCCCGCACATGATGGGTGAGATTAGTGGAAAATTCATGCATTTGATTTGTAACATTCTGTACTTGAGCTTCATAGAAGGTGTATGATATTTAGGGAGAAGGAGAAAGGTTGGCAGTGGTAGAATATGGACTCACTTGACATTTGGAGAATAGAGGTGTTCGTACATTGAGGAATTTTGGTTGAGAGAATACAGGGATTCAGAGTAAGCTGGCTGGGTGTGGCATTTCAGGTGGTACTGATGTGCTAAACAGTCACAGCTGTGGTGCCAGGTGTTGCTCTGTCAAGTAGACAACATTTCTTAGAAGAGCATAGGGAGCTCGTGTGCATCATAGTTGCTTTCAGTCTTTCACTACAGAAATAGGAAAAAAAAAAAAGCAGTACAATCCAAACCAAGTAAATTCCATTGAAGTACATAAGAACAGGAGTACATTGAACAGCAGCAGTTAAAAATTGAGCCTTTCTTCTGTCTCAGGTGATGTTTCCTTTTGCAGTCTGAACTTCCATCCCTCTGCTCCCTCGGTGGCAAGGATGGATGCTGAAATGCAGCAGTTCAACCACGCCACGAGTTAAACAAAACAAACCTGTTTTTCTATTCCCACTAAGCAGCCAGCAGCAGCCATTCAGCAGCTGCCTCCAGAGCAGCTGAGCTGCCCATGGCAGGGGGGATTCCAGCAGAAAGGAGGGGAGGACAGCTGTAAGTGAGAATCCCTACAGCTGTCCCAAGATCAAGAGTCTCCCCTCAAGAAGAGAGCCACTAACAGATTGCTTTTTCTCATTCTTGTGCAATAGAACAATGGAAGCGGAGCTGCAATTGTCATTAAGAAAATATTTGACGCATATGCGTGTCTCTGTGGGTATAAATAATGGAAGATTTCCATTTATCTTAATGATTTTAAATTGTGTACTTTACAAAATCTAAGCATAAAATATGTTTTCAGTTTAGATTTCAAATGTAAAATGAGAGCTTTTTTCATGAGGATACGCTTTAATTATATCTAAAGCCTTCTGAGATGCTTGAGTGGAGCATGCTGGAAGTGAAACATTTGTACAGTGGTGATATATGGCTCAGAGACTGCAGCCCTGTAATTAAAGCTCAAATTTAGTCCCCTTACATTGTGTTTATACGGTGTAGTCATATTGTGCTAACATCTCTTGAAGAATTGATTAAGTTTCTGACCTTTTTTTTGTCACTGTTAAAAGGAACAATGCCAACCTAGCTTTAAAAATATTTAGGCATCCCTGGAAGACTGATGCTCTAAAAGTGCCATTATTATTATAACAAACGTAGGACAGGTTTAAAATAATGTTTTGTCACCATCTCTCTGTTGATTACTCTATTTTCATCTT